TCACCATATCAGCTCTGTATCACAGAATGAGTTGGTAATGACACATTTTGAAATTCTCCATTACTCAATTTTTGGAAAAAGCAGCAGAGTGTAAACATGTATGACAGTCCTGTTAGTATCGTCTATTCAAACTCAAGATGCCATTAACTGTTTCCCAATTTAAAGTGTGACTGGTTGTGCATTGAATGTTAATGAATTCAAGTATAGGAAATTAAGCAATTATGAAGTAAATAATGGTCAAATTATATTTCATTTAATTAACCTGACCACTATTTTCTCTTTATGGTCTTTTGACATAGGATACCCTTCTCTCAAAGTCACCAATGCAGTGGGACAATAGCTCAAATGCTGGTTTTTCTGAAGGCAATCACACCTGGTTACCTACCAGTACAGATTACTACACTGTAAATGTTGCGGTAAGTATCAATGAAAATTTTATGCTGATTCCAGAAACAGGAAATGGGTTTCTATGCTAATAACATATACCGAAATCTTAACTGCTATTTATTTTTAAAACTTTTAAAAATTGATTTTGAGAGAGGAAGGAAGAGGAAAACATCCATGTGAGAAATTGAAACATGGATTGGCTGCTTCTGTATACCCCCTACTTGGGATCAAGCCCACAACCTGGGCATGTACCCTGACCAGTAATTGAACCCACAACCTGTTGGTGCACAAGCAGATGCTCAACCAACTGGCTACATCAATCAGGGGCTGATACATTTCAAATCAATCACATAGACTTCTCTTACAGCTTTCAAGTCATGTTTTTGTGAAAATACAAACTGGTACAAAGTGTACCACTTGAACTATTACACAGAATATACAACTCTTCATTGGAAAGACCAAGAGCTTTGAGATATTAAGGAAATTTTATGAAGGTCTATCAGCAAGCCTAGCTATCCTTCCCTCTTTCCTCCCCTCAAAAGGAAGGAAAAGAAGGAAGGAGTTGTAATGTGGGCTGGAGAGAAGCCCGTGTACCTGCAGAAACTGAAGACATGAGCCACCACTGACAGACAGGAGCTGTTCTAGCACACCATTTGGTTTTTGCCAACAATGGTGATCAAATTTGCCAAGTTCAGCAAACAAATTTCCTAAATACTGTATTAAATAAAATAAAAAGCCCAGTTCCTGTGTCATGTTGGCAACATTTCAAGTGCTGAGAAGCTAGTGGCTACCATACTGGACAGCACAGATATAGAAAAGATATAAAACATTGTATTTTTATTTGTTTTTTTAAAAATATATTTTATTGATTTTTTACAGAGAGGAAGGGAGAGGGATAGAGAGATAGTTAGAAACATCGATGGGAGAGAAATGTTGATCAGCTGCCTCCTGCACGCCCCCTACTGGGGATGTGCCCCCAACCACGGTACATGCCCTCGACTGGAATTGAACCTGGGACCCTTCAGTCCGCAGGCAGGCACTCTTATCCACTGAGCCAAACCGGTTTCGGCTAAAACATTGTATTTTTAAATGGCTATTTCAATCTTAATGGTAACTATAGATATAACTGTATAATTTCAAAGAATGTTAGAAGGGAAAAAATGGCATAAAGATAACCAATTGATCCAATAAAAAGCCAAAAAGGAAGAAAATAAAAATGTCTATAAATTAAAGAGAAAATTAGGCTACAGGATTATGTCTCAGCATATGGTAACCACAAATATCCTATATAATAAAACTCTAATATGCAAATCGACCAAACAGCAGAATGACCATCTGGACGACCTTCCAGATGAAGCCAGGACTGCAAGGGCCGGCTGGGGCTGGCCAAGGTTGTGAAGGCCGGTTGGGGCTGTAAGGGCTGAGCCTCTTGCATGAATTTTGTGCATCGGGCCTCTAGTAAAAGATAAAAACTCTTATATTAGAGCAATCTAAAGACAAAATCTGACATAAGACATGGCTAAACCAAAGGACACACAACTAAATACATTGGCCCTAGCCGGTTTGGCTTTTTGAATAAAGTGTCGACCTGTGGACTGAAGTATCACGGCTTTGATTCCGGTCAAGGGCACGTACCTCGGTTGCAAGCTTGATCCCCAGACTTGGTCAGGGGCGTGTGGGAGGGAACGAATCGACGTTTCTCTCTCTCTGTCTCTCCCCCTCCCTTCCACTCTCTCTAAAAATTAATAGAGAAATATCCTCACGTGAGGTTTAACAACAAAAAAGAAAATACAGACATCAAGGACAAATGCTAACAAAAAAGAAAGCTTGCCTCCCGGCTATAGCTATCAAAAGAAAAAATGCATAATACCGTTTGACCAAATAATTTCATTTGTTGATATCTGTATCTAGGAATATTTGTATACAACAAAGAGTCAAGGATCCCTACTGAACCATTGTTTTTAATAGCAGAAGACTTTGGAAATGATTTAAATGTATCAATAGACAATCAGCTGGATCATTTATGGTTAATTCTGCACAATAGACTAATATGCAACTTTAATAAAGAATGAGGGAGATTCTATGTTGTGTTGATATGAGACCACCTCTAACATGTACTGAGTAATAAAAAAAAGTACAGAATGGTAACATGGCACTATTTGTGTAAGAAGGAAAAAGTATCTCTATAATATGTTTGCATAGGCACAGAACGGCTTATTTCATGATACATAAAATGAAAGAATATGTAAATAGCAACAGTGTCTATCTCTGAGAGAGGGACTGGGAAGCTAGAGGATGGTGTTGAAGAAAACCTTTTTATTTTATATATTCATATACTCTTATAATTGAATTTTATACTGTATACATGCATTTCCTATTTAAAAAAAATAAAGTTACCAAAAGCAGGTGTGAAATATTTAATAGCAGACAAAATAGAATTCAATATGAAAAGCATTGAGATAAAGGCAAATTTTAAAAAACGGATAAAAGAACATTCCACTACAAATCATGAATCTATGCGTCTACAATAATGTCAAAATATATAAAACAAGTACTGTGAGAAATGCAGAGAAACTGACAAATCCACAATTACAGAGAGACACTTCAACATACTTCTAGTAAGTGGTCAATCAAGTAGACAAAAAAAAGAGTTAACACTTACTGGGCACTTCTTATGCAAGTGGCACTGAACTATGCTTTCTCATGCATTATCTAAGGCTATAGAAAATGTTAATAGTAATTTGACAGGTCATATACATATAGCATATACATGTACCATAAATACTGTTGTACCTGGTAAACAGAATAAATGTATTTCAAACATCCATTAGATATTCCTTAAAGACTATACATTAGGCACCTGCCCAAACAACAATCACCAAAACCACCTCTGTCAACATGGCTGGCAGGGGTATAATGAAATGAACATTATCACTGATTTGGCAACAGCTCTGATAAAGATTTGGCAGTATATATCAAGTGTCCATACTCTTTGACATAGTAATTCTCTTATATTTATATCCTAAATGACCCAAATCTGGGGGTGTGGGGGGGACACCATGAATATAGAAAAAATATTAGAAACTTGAATGCTGAAATGAAAGGGACCGGTTAAATATGGTATAACCATTCAATAGAATAGTTTTTTGCCTTTAAAATGACATTAATGGAATTATATAACAGAAGATGCTTGAAATGTTAAAGGAAAAATAAATACATTAAATTATGTATGTTTTATGGTTAAAAAATACTGATTTTTATTTTAGGCAGCATTTTCTTTGCATCCTTCTTTGCAACTTTCTGTTCATTAGCTATGCATGAAATACATGTCTGCAGAAATTATGGCAAATCTACCCATAATTCTATGAAATGGAACAGAGAATGCACCAGCAGTTCCGAGTCCATGGCCATCATGGCTGCTTTTCTGCCAGTTACAATAGAGAATGAAGGGACTTTTATTTAGGCAAGTTAAGTATCCATTAACTTTGACATGGGCATTGTTTTGGGATTCCTAAAGTGGAGTCCAATCTGATCTCTACTTCAACTCTGGCCAAGATGGTGTATATACTGCAACAAGGTGAACCCTGCATTTGCAATTTCAATCAGTAGTTAAATAAACTACTCATATCCACTTATTATTACTTACAATATGGTAATTATTTTAAGGGGCAAACTGAACAAGATTTTTGGGGAAATTTCTTATTTGATACTAAAGATATTTTTAAAAAAATCAGGATCAAACATTTATCTTAATACTTCTTTTTTTTAAAATAGGTCCAAAAGGCTCAGCCCAGGTCAGCATTAACGTTATATCAAGATTTAAGTTTGCTGCATGCCAATGAGCTGCTCCTCAGCAGGGGCTGGTTTTGCTATTTGAGGACAGACAGCCACTTTGTCGTGTACACAAGAGAAATGGATGGCATAGACAGAGTCTTCCTCGTGGTTCTGAATTTTGGAGAATCATCACTGCTAAATCTAAAGGAAATTATTTCAAATATTCCCACAAAAGTGAAAATACGGTTAAGTACCAATTCCACCAAGAAAGGGAGTGAAGTTGATACACAAGCCATTGCACTGGGCAAGGGAGAAGGACTCATCTTGGAATACAACACAAAGACTTTCCTGCATCAGCAAGCAGATGGAAGAGACAGATGTTTTGTTTCCAGTCGGGCGTGCTACTCCAGCATGTTAGACATCCTGCACAGCCTGTGTTAGACACTCTGCAGGAGGTGAAGACACCGGCTTTGCGTTCTACTTTCAGCGTTTGCGGTAACTTCGTGTACAGCAAACTGCTGGGTAAACTTTACAGACAGTCATTAATTCTTAGATATTTCTGCAGCTTGAATGTAACTGCTTTAGGAAAGGTTCTCAAATGTTTTTTAAAGAATAATGTTTAAAATAAAATGATCACATGCAGGAACTTTTAACTTCTTGACATAGCATCAATAGAGATCATCAGAACACCTCAGGACTCCAGATTATTAGAAAGATCTAATGCATTTTAATGTGAAGAATGTTCTCATTCCACAAAATACAGGCACAGAAACTAGAGCATGACTTACCACTAAAGTGTCTAAAAATGTTCACTAGCAAAGAGGCAGGACCTTGATTTGTAAACTGTCCAAAGAAAATTTTAGTAAAACAGACTAACACAAAGTTGTTTTGATGGGGGGAGGGCGGCGTTCTGCCGCCTCCAACCCTTCCTCACCCCCGCTCCACATCCTGAGGAGTGAGATTAGAAATCTATTTTCCTAGGTAAGGGGCATATACACCAAGGAGAGAACAGGGTAAGTGAGATATACACTAAACAAAATTAGGATAGAGAAGCAAATTTTAATAAACTATTCATTTACTTAAAAAAACTCACTTTTGCTAACCTAATTGCAAATAAAACTAGGAAATGTTTCCATGTGTTTCCAATTTCCACAGAATTTCAGAATTTTACATATTTCTTAAGAGTCTCGAAAACACCGGTGCTGTCAAGTCCGAGTTCCTCATACAGGAATTTAATCTGGGCTGTAATCTAAAAGAGACACATTAAAAGATTAGATGGAAGGCCGTGGTAGTAAAACTCCTGTGTTCAACTCTGTCTGTCCATCTTCACCGAACCCCGAAGCCAGCAATTTATGGCAGGGATACCTTTACTTGGTACAGAGGCAGAAGGCTGCCAGCGCTTATGGTTCAATTACGTGAACAGAGCTCACAAGCACTAGAGAGAGCCTGCTTCCCTCATGGACTCAGTGTTCTTTCTCACCCTCCTGGTCTCAGTCACAGACCTGAATGTGGCCCACGCCGCCCCAACCACCGAAATGTGGAGCAAAACACTTCTCTGCCTGAGGACCTGTCACCTGAGAGGGCTGGACAACATACCTTTTTGTGAGAATCCTCAATCACATGATTGCCTCCAGGCTGAATGTCTAAAATAATATTGGGGGCCTGATAGCCTGAAAGAGTTAGCATATGAAACAATCAGGAAGTTTTTGGCCAACTGAAGCCCATTTCTGCCCCTCCCCCCTTTTCTAAGTAATCTATGAAGGTGATAGTGAAGGAAAAAGGCCTGACCATCCCTTCCAACAGAGAGCTGGGAGGGGCCAGCAGGAGTAGGACCAGTGGCTGAGGAAGCTGATGGGAGAGGCTGCAGGGCCACAGGGGGAAGGCTGGGACGAGGAGGAAGCCACTGGCCCTGTGAAGCTGAGAGAGTCTGAGACCCAGAAACACCCCCTGCAGCAGTGCTGAGAGGGAGACGGAGCTGGGCACAGGGCAACCGTCTGGAAACATGGATGAGGGTTCCTCCCACCCGGCTCTGAAGGTCTGGGATGTAATGGCAAGAAAAAAGGTAAGAGCACTTGTTTAATAAAATACAAAGATCTAGAGAAAATTAAAGCCGCTAGTTTGGGCACTGAGGCTCCAGAGCAAAAACTTCAGAACCTGTTTTAGGTTCCCAAGAGTAATGGCTCAGTTACTATTGTATTAGATGAACGAATGGCTGTATGACAGTCCGTCTCCAGTTTATATTTGATATTTAAATTTACTTCTTTTGTGTAACTTATTTTCCCTTGTCTAACTTATTTTAATACTGTCCTTGAACAAAAGGCGAGGTGGTTATAGTTGTAATGTGTGCTTCAATTAGTAGTCAACATAGGAAAAACAATAATTTGTCCCAAATCATAGATTGGAGATTTGGTCTGTACATGAAATGCATTCCTCTGAGAGGTTTGCTAAAGGTAATAGTCTGCTTAGCTATGTTCCTGCTTTGCGGTGGTCCCCTACCTTCACCACTGTCCTTAGCGTGCTCTGTAACGGCTTCCTTGAGTTTCTCCGTGTAGTTTACAATTCCTTTCAGGGGTACCCGTTCATCGTTTTCATAAGCTGTGATGTGAACTGAAGGATAATGCTGCAAGAAAATGGATGTACAAAGAATGTATATTGTTCCTTATAGTCCCTTTCTATCTTACAGATTATGAAAAATAATTACTTCTAATTTTCCCCCCTAAATGCTACATTTTTCTCCTTTACTTGGTATTCTTGAGAGATCTATAGCATTAGAGTACTAGACTACTCGTCATCTGGAATAGTATCTGCTTAACCAGAGAGACCACGACCCTATTGAAGCCAGCATGGAATATGAGCAACGACGGTGCTAAAAGGTATTGGGGTATTATAAGTAGAAACAACCTAAAGGTCTACTGAATTCCGGCCTGAGCTCAGATCAGGTAAGTATCCTTTTGATCATCTTCACTCTGTCACTGCGGATAGTAATATCATAACTGTCTTTCACTACCTGAGGTTTAATATTTTGGTAGGGGCAGTAACGTTTTATGTAGTTCTTGTGTTTTTCATCAGATGAAGGATTCCCCCATTCTTCTAATTCTTCTAATGTCAGAGGAAGTGTAGTATCCATCATGGTGTTGAGAACATCCAAGAAAGGTGCCTAAAAAAAAAGCCAAAGGGACTTAAACTTCAACTAACAAGTTGGTAAAATGAGTTACAGGGAAATATACATTATGAACATACATGTTGACATGAGAGACCAGAGCTCAGGAAGCCATGTAGAACCCAGGAGCCACATGCATTCCTCAGTCCTTACCCAGCACCTTGGCTTTAAAACTGGCTTTTAAGGTGTTCAGACTCCTTAAGTGACATTTATATAAAAACAAAGGGCTTATATTCTAACTAGAGGCCCGGTGCACAAATTCATGCAAGGGTGGGGTTCAGCCAGCCCCACCCCCTGGTCGAACTCCAGGTTGAGAGGACAATTTGCATATCAGCCTTTTATTATATAGGATTTCACAAATTTTGTGCCTTTTGCTCATACACACACACACACACACACACACACACACACTTTTATGTAAAAAAATGTTACCACTTGCCATCCATTAGGATAGCTAGCTATTAACGAAGGAAATTCTGACACATGCCACAACACAAATGGATCTTGAGGATATTATTTAAGTGAAATAAACCAGTTATAAAAAGACCCCATTTCTAGGAGGTACCTTAGTCAAAATCACAGAGACAGAGTAAAATGGTGGTTCCCAGGGGTTGGGCGAAGAGGGAACTGAAGAGTTTCTACTTAATGGGTATAGAATTTCAATTTTGCATGATGAAGAGTTCTGGGAAATTGGTTACACAATAGTGTGAATGTACTCAATACTACTTAACTGTAATGCTTAACTGTAATGCTTAAAAATGGTGAAGAGGTGCCCTGGCCAATTGCTCAGTGGTTAGAGCATCACGGGTTTGATTCGGTCAAGGGCATGTACCTTGGTTGCAGGCTTGATCCCTGCCCCAGTTGGGGTGGGTGTGGTAGGAAACCAATCAGTGTGTCTCTCTCACCTCAATGTTTTTCTCTCTCCCCCTCCCTTCCACTCTCTCTGAAAATCAATGGGAAAAAATATCTTCGGGATTAACAAAACAAATGGTGAAGATGTAAATTTTGTTATTTTACCACATTAAAAAATAAAAACAAAACTTAGCAATACATGAATAAATATTCCTTCACCAGTTGGACATTTTACATAAAAATAAAAGATACATGTAAATTGAAGAAAATCTGGAAAATATCCATTTTGAAAGAAGAGAAAATCACTCATTGGCTTACACAGTGTTAAAACATTTAATAAAATGGTAGCTTTTTTCACTTAACCTTATGGTCTTGTTAACATGCTTTTCAGCTTTCTCTTGCATTAACATTTACCACGTATAGTAGGCAAATGGAATTCTATTTGGCTCCCTAGCACCTGGACTCCTTTTCTGCAGTTAGCGTATCCCAAACCTTGTGGGACAGAGGTACTAAATGCTAGGCAGTTCCTTTCCCAGCTTTCCCTGCAGCGCAGGAGTAGCCACATGACTTCAGTCTACCAATCAGACACAATGTGCTCCAAATTCTGAATGGGAAGTTAGTGACTCAAAGAAGTAGGGACCACAGAGAATTTATTCTGGCAAAACTGCCACAGCTATATCAAGCTTCTAAGAGCAACACTAGCAGTGTGAAGTGACGTCTGCCCAGCTGTGGTGGTAGTGACTGCTTCACAGGATAGGCTAATGGTATATTTGGACATGCTTCTGGTTGTGCAGCCTCTAAGACTGGGTCTATACCCACCTGCACCCAATACACTTCAATAAATCCTTTTCCTGCTTAAAGTAGTTATGCGTTTCTAATGAAGAACTAGTGCTTCTAATGAAGAACTATGGTTCTGGTGCTTCTGATTAAGAACTGGTGCATACTGATACTACTAGTATTGTTGGATACACATATACTGTATTGTTGGAAGAACTGAAAATTTCAATTCTTCACTATTATAAGCAATGTGGGCTAAAAATCCTTACACATACATTTCTGATTTCCTTCCTAATTTGTAAAAGTCAAAGTAATTTCTAAAAGTCAAAGGTTGAATTTTCTTTATAGTGTAAATAATTTTTCCATTATTATCTTTGTGATAGGATTTTCTTCCCCTATACGTAGTACTTCTATTTTAAAAATAGATGTACAGTTCAGAATTATTTAACACTTATTTATTTAATACAAACCCACAGCGTACACCCCACACCCTCAAAATAAAAAACTTAAAAATAATTTACTCTGCTCATCCCAATAATTTTATTTTCTAGAGCATCTAACCAAGAAACAGGAGAAATGAGCTGCTATAACTTCATAATTTTGGACATAAGGAAAAGACTATCAAGCATTTTCAGAATAAGGTATTTCAATTGAAGTATAGAAAAACTACCCCTAAAGACCATTAAAAACAGAGTAGCTAAAACCAGAGAGCCCCTAAATCCAGGACTAAAAGGTTGATGGGCAATAGAGTAAAACACTTGGTGCACTTCAGAGTCTCAGTGCACTCTGCCTTACTTCCCAGAACGGATGAGTCTTATATGCTTTGTCTCTTCCACCAATTCTAAATGTTCTTACCAAAAAAAAAAAAAAAAAAAGAAAAAGGGGATAGCTATTAATATCCTTCAGTGAAAATCCTTAAAACTTAATAAAGAACACTGTCAGGGAAAAGTAAAGGGCGAGTAGTTGGATTAAAATAACTTTAGAAGTTCACTCAGAGCTACAATTCTTTGTTTAAAATTGAAAAGCTTTGTTACTCATATGCTATGGTAAACCAGAATTTTTTCTCAGGGCAACCGATGGCTTCATGGCCCCCCCGCCCCCCATTCTGTAAACAGTCAGAGATAGCATGTACTCACCTCCATAGTCACAGCTCTCAGGAGCTCTGGATTAGAGTTACACAACGCTCCCACAAGCACCCCTCCAGCACTGAAAGCAGTCAGGGTTGTTAGACTTGGCTGAGAAAAGCCTTGGTCATGAAGCGTCTTAATGCAAGCCTCTAAGTCAGCAAGGCCATTGAGTTTTTTAGTAAGACGGCCATCAGCGTGCCACTGAAGACCTAACTCACCACCACCCCTGAAATTAAAGGGCAAAAAGGTTTTAGTGGAGAAAAAAAAATATGAATAATATAGGTCGGGGTCAGCAAACTATCTTATGGGCCAAACCTACCCGGAGGCCTGTTTTTGTATGGCCCTTAAGCTAAGAGGTGTTTTCACATTTTCAAAGGTTGGGAGGAAAAAACCCAACCAGGAATATGCAGGAGAGCCACATGTGGCCGCAAAGCCTACAATGTTTACTATTTAGCTCTTTAGAGAAAAAGTTTGCTAACCCCTGAAGTAGACAATCAACAGACATGTTCGAATGTCTGCCTATTATGTACCAGACATTGTGCTAAATGCAGGCCTTAGAACATAAATAAGCAAAAATCCCCTGCCCCGGAGAAGATCTTCATTTTGTGGGGAAAGAAAACAGCTACCAAGAAATCTGGTTGCTGCTATTACACACATGTATTTAAGCAGAAGAAAGAACATCCATGTGTCAGGAACACAAATGCCTCACATGGAGATAATACATAAGCTGAGTCTTGAAGGAAGAATGCAAGTTCCCAGAGGGCAGAGAAAGGGAGACATCAGGACACCACGGAACCAGGGCAGTGAGGGGAAGCAGCTTGTCGCCTGGCAGGACAAGCGAGGCTGGCTGTGGAGGCGTGCATGGCGGGAGCACAGGACGTGTGTGGGGAGTGAGAACAGACGCCCTTACAGAGATAAGAGAGATCATCAGGATGTTAAATACTATACTGAGAAATCTGGACTTTATTATGGAGATGGGGAGGTAGTGAAGGATTTTAAGCAGAAACACAATATTTGTGTCTTGAATACAGCTAAAATAAAATGGAAATTAGAGTGGAAAAAAGGAGTTCAGCTTAAGAGGTTATTTTAGAAAAACCTAAACTCGGGGGAATTAAATGGAAATAATGTTACCAAATAAGTAAAGAGGCTGATGGTATTCTAAAAATCCTAAAAGTCTGGTACAATATCCTAAAAAATGTACCCTTTTGCTTTTTGGATCAACTAATGTTACCAAATCAAGTTCCACCAGCATAGGCATAGGAATACATAAATTCAATACAAATGAAAAAACAAAGTTTTGCTCGCGATGTACTGTTATTGTGGGTTTCTGTCACAGTGCTCGCGCACTCACATGCCAGGATAAATATGCAGACTCACCGCACATGGCAATATGCTAATATCCATCCATCGTCCACCAACGCCCTCCTTTCAGGCCTGAAATTCATTTTCAAGTCCATGCCGTAAGCTCCATACACATGGACCAGGAGAGGTTTTTTCTGCAAGTCCTCAGAATCCGTTTTGTGGAAGATAGTCATTGGCACTGACCTTCCATCCTGGAAATGAAGATTTATTATCCATGTAAACAAGAGTATTTTCAAACAGTTTTATCCTCTATTTTATGTCCTGCTTATTGACGTTGAGCAGAAACTTTAATTAAGACAAAGAGTTATGGTCTCTAAACTCTATCTCAACACTTACTTTCAGCTACTTGGCTGACCCATAGTATTAACTAAAAAAGAGCAGCAAGACTGACTTGAATATACGTTATTAAATGGCTTTTCCTGATAATAAAGTCATTCGAAAGAGTTCTTCACTACCCAGCACTACTGTAAATTTTTTCCCCAAGTACCTATTAAGATTAGACATACTAGCATAGCATTCTTCCTGTACCTAGGCCTACATACTGGCACTACTCATCTTTAAATATTTACAAATAGACAAACTAAAGAAGTTTTAACAGCTCAATTTTCTATCCTTTACAGACAGAATTCTCAAACACAAATAAAATAAAATTTTTATTTTAAAAAATTAAAAAAAAATATATATAAAAATATAACCCGGAACCCTTCAGTCCGCAGACTGATGCTCTATCCACTGAGCCAAACTGGTCAGGGCTTGTGAATTTTAACACAGAAATTACTTTTAGGACAAGTAACTATTCCCCAATTTAGTTCACATTAATCAATACCAATTGACTAAAACTTAGCACTCTCTGGACAGATAGAATGAAGATAATGTGGATGAGTTCTTATCTTTCTTTCACAGTACAAAGGTGGGAGAAAGTTGGTTCTCACCCTGCCTACAGAAACTAATGAAATAGCATTAGTTTAAGTGAGGAAAAGAATATAACCAAACCACTCTCCCTATTTTTTTTTCTCATTAGAAAACTTCACTTTGGGGCACTTCCTCTCGTTAATCTAGATGCAACTTGTTACGATAGTGGAACTGAATTTTCACTTCTCAGTATGACTCATTCTTATAAAATGCTATAGATTACTCCTCAACTTCAAGTAAACAAGCTGAGGAATATCTGCTGGCTGAAAAGTTAGGAAAAGGAAGAGGTCAGGATGGGAGCAAGCCCTGCGATGGGCTAGGCCCAGAGTCCATCCGCAGTGCACAATGCCTGCAGAGCTAGAGCAGCCCACTCAGCAGGTGCTCTTTTCTTCAAGAGTCCCTTGGCTCTCCAAGAACTTAGCTTCCATTGGGGGTATAATAATTACAACATTTTGACAGGCTGGTATAAATGCCATACTTGTAAAACAAAACAAAGCCTAAACATACATATTTTGTTGGCAAAAAAATAAATAAATAAAAAGGAAATCTGGAAGGTGATATACTAAATGGCTAATAGTGATTTTTTTTCCTAAGAGGTATAGGAATGACTGAAAAGTAGTCACTTAAACTTCATACATTCTATTTTTTGTATTCATTGAAATGAACGGCTTGATGTGCTAGTCATAAAATTTCTAATCCATGTTAAAGTAAATATGAGTCTTAAAATTAAAGAAAAATCCATTTACCCACTAAACTCATTTGGGTCTTACTGAGGTCTGAGATCCACTTTACAAAACTGTATACCCAGCAACTGCACAATACTTAGCAAATAGTAGGCTTGCAGTAAATGGGGGCTGACAGTGGAGATTACAAAGACTTACCTTACTTTTGGCTTCTAGACGTAAAACACGACTAGTCTTTGTGATTGGGTCTTCATGTCCAGTTTCCTCAAACAGTTTGCCTTCTGCAAACTTGTATGTGTAATATTTTGGGGGACGTATTGGAGAGCAAAGCTGAAAGGGACAGTTCTTTGGGTCTGAATTTGTATCCATTATGAATCCACAGGCCCAAGGAGGGAGCTAAAGAAATAAAAGTTATTTTTACTCTTTATCTAGACACTAGATATATTAATTAAATTTCTGGGTCTGCTTCAAACAAGATAATGTGAACATCAGTTTTACTTCTATCCATTTTCACATAATGCTTCATTCAAGGATTACTTTAGCACAACAGAATACATTTCAAGTAAAAAACAAAACTCTATACCAATGATCAATAAAATAAGGAAAAATGACAGGAAAATGGTTTATCATGATTCTGGATTTACATAAACTCTCTGATAAAAAAGTTTATTTTGGGCATAAACTTGGGCAATAAAATAACAGCAAAAGGATTAATAAGAGCAAATCAAATAATAATTCAGAACCAAGCAACATCTTCAAGATCTCTGTCCTCATAGAACATGAAATCTCAGACATGTATTTTTAATAATTTACCCACCAGCCCACACTCTGCTGCCTAGATAGCCACAGTGATGACAGTTATTATTCCAGGGCTACAAAATGGCGCAGCAGCACTAAAGCATTTACAATTTGTTTCTAACTTTAGCTCCTAGGCTAACCATTGTGCAGAACAAAACCTTTCCTGCACATTCACTCTGAAAGACTCAGAGCTATTATGATTAAGATTCTTAACTTTAAGAAAGAAAGGAAAGGAATCAAAATTTATTCTCTCAGAGCAGCAGGGTCCTGCTTCAAGCCTTCCACTAACATCCTTCTTATACCTTTTAAAGAACTCTGGTAAGCAGGCTGACAGTGTCTTAGAAATGGTACCAGGAGTCAGAGCATTACAAGAAAATTGCCTTTCTTTTCCCGAATAATTGTAGAAAGAGCAAATTCCTTAGAAAATCAGAGGTCTTGGCACAGCAAAGTCACTGGTGGGCACTATTCAGAAAGGTAAGTGGGGGATGTGTGCATAGAGAGTGCACCATTTAACTTGTAGAAACTACGGCCAAAGAGCTTATGTTTACAGAGCAAATTTCTTGTAATTAATCCAAAGAATCTATTTTCCTGAAACTAATAAGGACATACATTTGCAATATTTCTTTACAAGAGTTCCCGATCATTCTCCTTAGGTTGAGGATTATTTTCAAGGACAATATATCTAAATGCAAGCCATAACCAGAAAGAAAAGTGTAATCATGCAAGTTGGGAAATCTGGTCGCATGAATGGAGTGAGCAAACCGAGACCTTAGTGGGAAGGAAACAAACAAGCACCACTGCTAACGTTGCAACCAGGCCTCAGGCTGAGGGGACAAGGGTCCTCGGCCCAGAGGTACACGTCACTCTGCCCTTTGGTGACTTTAAAAGTTTCTGTGTGATCCATGTATTAAGCTGTTCTAGCTTTACACCAAATGGTTCCAATAAAGCAAAAAGTCCTTTGGGTGTATTTCTTAAACTAATGGAGCAAAGTTAGAGTTTTAATTATAATAACAACTGTTCCAAGGCTATCAACTTTTTAAAGTCTGTCCAGCTGATGGAGAAGGAAGGTATTAATGATCTCAAGAATATCTTAAGCCACCTTTCCCATTTGGATAAGCCCGCAGTGTCAACCGTATGTATTAGTGGACAGCATCCAAGAATAATTATATCTTAAATGCTGAAAGAAAATTGGCCCAAAGGTTTTTGTCCTTTGTATATGGTGCTGCCGAAGCATATCATTCAGTGTAATGCAGTTTTTGAAAAGGCTCTGATCTGCGAAATTCTCTTTAAGTAGCACCTGGCATATAATATAGTATCTGATTCCATGTGATAATGACTCAGAACATTATACATGGCATACTAGGCCCTACAGGTTGGGAGGGTTAGGGAATAAAGTAGAGGATATAGAATAAACTAAAGACATGATGCTTATTCTAATGGAAGTTAAAACCATGGAAAATAGAAATACATACAAAAACTATAAAAGGTCATATTTACGTGAAAGTCAAATCTTATTATAAGAGTAAAAAGACATTTCTAATTTTCTTAACAGAATTGTGTAATAAATGCACTGCTAGAAATTATGTATTTTCTCCCATCTGTATTCACACAGACTGCCATAAGTTTCCCAGTTAAAGATATCTGAATTAGACATCAATTAGCAAGTAAGAGGACACACTTTGAATCTAGTAGATGAAACCAATAAAAATTTGCTAAAGTAAAATCACCATTTGTGTTTTAGGACAACTATATAGTCCTCTAAGACACCAGACATTACATTTGATAATCTGATTTTATGAGGCTGCTAGGAAACTTTGGTTGTTTTAGGCCCTGGTAATTTCTTATTTTATATTACTCTAACAATCTCAAAACTAATCTCTCGGCCCTTTATCTCCTGCTGCTTCAGTGTGTCCTAACATGGCTGCCAGATAAAAACATGAAGTATAGCTCACTCCTCAAATCACTCTCCTACCCCAAATTTCACATGTTCTCCCTCTTCATAATTTATGCATAAATTCATTACTGTGACAATCAAAGAATGTCAAATCATAACTTCACCCCCCAGAAATCTCTTACATAATAAAACAGAATTACTAGCAGTTTCCTGAACATTTTCTGAGCTGCTCCCGCTTAGTGCTTCACGTGAGAGATGTCCTCATCCTAGAACAGCATTTCCCTTCCTACCCATCAAATTCCTGTCTATCCTCTTTGGATCTTGCCTACAACAACTATAACTGTGTATCCTGATAGTGACTTTATATCTCCTTCATTCTTGACACCACTTATTTAAACCACCTTCTACCTGCTCTTTGTGTTAGTTGAAGCTCATGATTAACTCTATCCTCCTTAAGGCCAGATATTTTGTTCTGTCTTTCCACTCCAGAGTGCCCCATTCAGCACTTTGCGCATAGAAGTTCAATAAACACCTGGTAAATTTCCAGGAATTGCATTTTAACAGAAATTGCGACAACACTGCAGTTAGGGAGGTATAAGTGGTCTATGCTTGCTGGTCAACTGGCTCCACAACTCCTTCCATATAAGCAAAATGCAGGCCTCTCCTCTTCCCTTCAGTGTCTGGTATCTTAACTCACATTAATGCTGCTTTAAAAGTGGGCAATAAGGGTGCCATTGTAAGTTCACTTGTGGAGGCAGATTATCTTTCCTGGCAGCCACAGGCAATACCAGTGGGTCAGCCTGCCAGGGACATGTGCCAGCATCACAGCTGCTGTAGTGGAGACCACTGCCACCTACTTCTTGAAAGAAACCAAAGTTCACTTTTCCTCATGCCCTGGTGAGAGACATGGCAGAGAGATGATGCAGATGCGAGCACGCAGTGGCACAAACACTGGGGCACTATCTCACTGGGCGTGTGGGATGGAGCAGCAGGCAGTGGTTAGGCACTAGCTGCCCAGTTGGCCTGAGCTATTACTATATTTAAAGCCGGAGAAATATGTGAGATATAGAAAGAGACCTATCTCCTAAATTTGACAAAGACCTAGTATGCTAAATGTCATTTAAATTAATTCTTTTAAGAAAAAATACATTGCTATTATTAAAAATTTGATGTTCTGGTGAAGCTAACCTGCATGTATTTTGATTTACACTACTGTCTTTTGATAATTAAACATACCTTTAGAGACCGAACTGAGTCATCAGCCAGACCAATCACATTAACATAAAGCAGATTGCTGTGCTTCAGGAAGAGAACACAGTGATCCTTAAACATGTCCAAGTCTACGACTTTGGTATTTCTCTTCATTGTGAAAAATAAGTCCCAATTCATGATAGCAGGTGTATCAGCTGCTGTTCTCATTAGCTGTGTGAAACAAAGAAGAGATCTAGGTAACAGAACATGGTATCTACAAAATCCAAAGCCATAGATGAAACCACTGAAATTAGACATACTATTCTTCACTGTTTTATGGAGAGCTAACTGCATCAGGGCTGAAGTGTGACCATCACCACTGAATGAGGCCTGGTGCTTAGCTGATAGCCAACCAATAGACACTTGAGTGAGACATCCAGCTGACTGTGGAAGCATCAGTGAGCCTCGCTGACTCTGACAGAACAGCTTAGCTGAGAACAATCCAAATTGCTAACTCACAAAATCATGAATTTATAAAACTTTGTTCTTTTAAGCTATTAGGTTTGCCTTTGATAATTGATATAATCAGGATAGAGTATGCTTCATTTACTACCCTTTTTTAGGAACAATTCAAATGGGACGGACTAAACACAGGATGGTAGCATCAATTTCTACACTTTACCAAAAGCCTATGAAACAATGAACTCTTAGAGCAAGAACTGTTGCTGATGGAAGTGTGACACTTTTTAACAGCCAAATGGAGCTAAGAAATAGAGTATCACCTTGAATTCTGTAGGCTCACCAACATTAGTGAGAATGTATAGTTCATCATCTCTGTGTTCAACGTAGTAAAGGACCCCATGTATTCGCTTCTGGATAAGTACAGGTGGATCCCAAGGACTTAGGCCGTCTATCAACCACACTTCAGAAGTGGTCTTGTTCATGATATTTATGGTGAGGAAACGACTGTCTTTTGTAAGATAAAGGAAAACAAAATAGCTACACACACACACACACACACACACACGGGGAGAGAGAAGAAAGAGAAAGAGGGAGAGAAAAAGATATGAAAATCCAATAAATTTCAAGTGCATGCTACCTTGTTAATGACAGTATCTTACAGGTGGTCAATATATATATTAATTAAAATGCAGATAGAAAATAAAAACAACTGCTTAGTGAATTCTGTTTGTAAACTAAAATTCTATTATTTTTCTCATTGCCTTTAAAAACATTAAAAATAATTTTTCTCTAAAATTTTATTATGAATGTTTTTCAAACATGCAGAAAAGTTGAAAGAAATGTACAGTAAATACCCATATACCCACCACTGAGATTCAATCATTAACATTTTGATACATATATATAAATATATATATCTCAACATCACATATCTATGTATCATCTATCCATCTGTTTCTGAATGTATTTCAACAGGGGTGGGCAAACTTTTTGACTCGAGGGCCACAATGGGTTCTTAAACTGGACCGGAGGGCTGGAACAAAAGCATGGATGGAGTGTTTGTGTGAACTAATATAAATTCAAAGTAAACATCATTACATAAAAGGGTACAGTCTTTTTTTTCAATAGTTTTATTCATTTCAAACGGGCCGAACCCGGCCCTCAGGCCGTAGTTTGCCCACGGCTGTATTTCAAGGTAAAGTACAGACATCATCTCACTCTCAATCTCATTAACAGATTATAGGGCTTTTTGCTCAGAAGAAGAAATAAACTTCTTATAGGAATATGATATTACAGTGGGGCCTTGACTTACTAGTGTCCGGACTAACGAGTTTTTTGAGATACCAGCTGTCTCTCAGGCAATTTTTTGCATTGAGTTGACAGAATAATTTGAGTTAACCCCTTCCCCAACAATTTTTTTGTTAAAAACGTTTCTTTTTCACACTAATTTTTTTATTTTGGTTCCCACGTCCCTGAGCCTGGCCTGAACCCTCTCGCAATCCAGGACCCCCTCGGGGGACATTCCTCTTGCAATCTGGGACCTCTGGCTGCTAACTGCTTGCCTGCCTGCCTGATTGCCCCTAACCACTCTGCCTGCCTGCCTGATCACCCCTAACTGCTCACCTGCCTGCCTGATCACCCCTAAACACTCACCTGCCTGCCTCATTGCCCCTAACCACTCTGCCTTGGTGCCTGCACCTGGGACCCAGGCTTCCCTCCTCCAACTGGCCGCAGGCAACCAGGACCCAAGCTGGCTTCGCCCAAGCCGGCCACAGGCACCCAGGATCCTGGGCGCTTTGCCCGGGCAGGCACTCGGGACCCCAGGCAGTGCTGCCCGGGTCCCAGCTTTGTCAGGGAGGATGTCCAGAATGACGTCCGGAAGACGTCCAGTCTATCCAGTCTAATTAGCATATTATCCTTTTATTAGTATAGTTTAGAAAGGGACACAGTTGCTTTGTTTTTCCTCTGTACACATGTTGAATTTCCTTTTCTCCTAGTTTTTTTTAAAAAATATATTTTCTTGATTTTTTACAGAGAGGAAGGGAGAGGGATAGAGAGTAAGAAACATTGATGAGAGAGAAACATCGATCAGCCGCCTCCTGCACACCTCCTCCTGGGGATGTGCCCGCAATCAAGGTACATGCCCTTGACCGGAATCGAACCTGGGACCTTTCAGTCCGCAGGCCAACGCTCTATCCACTGAGCCAAACCAGTTAGGGCACTCCTAGTTTTTACAACAAAACAGATCAATAGTCGGGAAGAAAATGCCTCACAATTCCACTAACCTAGCACATTTAAAAAAATTAATGTAATTATTTTACTTTTTCTTGTTTTTAAGGTTTATTTGTATTTCATTCATGTCTTCAAATAGACGGAATTAAAGTATAGATGCAATTAAAGATTCTGCTTTTTTAAAAAAATCCTCACGGACATGCTTATTAATTTTAGAGAGAAGGTAAAGGGAGGGGAGAGAGAGAGAGAGTGGGAGAGAAAATCGGTCAGTTGCCTCCTGTATGCACCTAGATCAGGGATCAACCTGAAATCTTTCAGCGTTATGGAATGACACATCAATTGAGCCATACCAGCCATGGCAGGATTCTGCATTTTTTTATGTCACATAATATCAATATCTCCCCCAACATTAGTCTTTATGATCATTAAAAATCAATCTCATTAAAACAATCATCATTAGAAAAAAAGCAATGACTATATCACTGGACCAAGAATGTTAGTTCTATGGCCTGGACTAATGTAATTCCTTTAGACCTAAGATTATTACTATTAATTAGGAGTTGTACAAGATTCCCTCCCTCCTTCCTTCCTTTCTTTCCTTCAAGATTTTCTTTAAGATCCTTGCCAGCTCTTATGAAACGAAGGGTTAATTTTCTTGATTAGATATTGACTTCACTGCCATAAATTTATTTAGTATTAAATCCCCCCCTTCTTTTCCTTGCAAAATCTGTTCAGATATTGTCCACACTATATTGTTTAATGATGTATGAAGTGACAGGACCCTTGTGTTAAGAAAAAAATTGTTTCTAAATTACAAGGAATTTTGCCAGATACATTTACTATCATTTCCTTCCAAGCTTAAGTGGTAATATAAGGCATGAGTCCTGGAGATTACAAGGAAATAAAGACAAGTAGCTTTAGGAAGGAATTACCAAAGTACTTGGGAAGGTAAAATATAAGGACCAATGGCAATCATGGCTCAAAGCAAAGCAATTTAAAATTCAGATAATCTCTATGAAATGCATAGTGAATTCTGTGCAACTGATACCATGGTATCTAACTTACTAGAGATTTATAATTGCTATATGACAACCCTATTAAATGTTCAGTCAACAACTCCTCTCATGCGTCACAGACCAGAGAGAATGTGAGTAACTCATCATTTGCAGTCTAATGAGGTATTTGTGTTTATTCTGGAGTTTGAATATGCCTAAACTCCAGTTTTGAATCTAAACAACTTACAAAAAAGAATGATTACAATATTATATTTGTTTCCAGCCAAAATCAACATTTTAAGTCAACCAAGAGCAGCACTTTAGATAACTGGAGAAATATGTTGGAGAAAAAGCTTTAATTGCATTATTCTAGTACCTTGGGTCTTTTTCTGTGTAAAAACGTTCATTACGTTTGTTTTCACCAAAAGTGGCTCGATACACATCATGACAGCGAAGGTTCCTCTGGAAGGTATAGAATAAAACATCCTCATCTTCTTCATCCTTTACCCATTCTGGGGAAAAAATATTAAAGAATTATACATAGCCAACTACTTACAGTTTTATAAAAAAGGCACAGACCTAGCCAGTTTGGTTCTGTGGACAGAGCGTCCGCCTGCGGACTGAAGGGTCCCAAGTTCGATTCCGGTCAAGGGCACATCCCCGGGTTGTGGTCTCGATCCCCAGTGGGGGGCGTGTAGGAGGCAGCCAATCAATGATTCTCTCTCATCATTGATGTTCCTATCTCTCTCTCCCTCTTCCTTCCTCTCTGAAAACAATAAAAATATTAAAAAATAAAATAATTTTTTTTAAAAGGCACAGTGCATTCTAAGTGTGAGTGCCAAAGAAAAGAGATGTGTAAGTTTATCCCTGGAAATCTAAATCTAACATAGGTTCAACTGTATATAATCTGTGTTATATAAACCTAAGAGCTTTCCAGAGGATAAAATATTATACTACATCAATTCTAAGTTTTCAAGTTGTTATCAGTCTCAGGACACTAAAGTTTCTAAATGGGAGAGGAATGTTCAATATTTAGGGAAGACTTTGGTAAAGTCATTATTTGTTTTTAGGAGATAAATTATGTTTAAATCTAAAACCTCTAACTTTAAGTATGAGGAAATATTAGATCATTTTCTTTCATGCGTAAGTGTTTTCTGTCTGCTTTCAAACCACATGCTTTCTCAGACTACCAGATATACTTTAAAGCTGGGGTTTTCTTGACCTTCCCAGAAGCTGTCAGTTGAAGTTTTCACAAAATGACATCATGACTGCCATCTGGCTGACAGCTACTGTAAGACAGCATGGTATAATATGCATCCTGATTTTAAGAGAGGTTAAAATGTACCAAATTTATGTATTAGAATCAATTGATTGCAAAAGCATGTAGTTATGAAACAATGGGGAAATTTATGACGGAAAATGAAACAGGAGGATAAGGTATAGACACGTATTACTCAATGATCAATGATAACATTTAAAGTTGGTTCTATTAGTAAAAATATCACAACTTCTACTGATGAATAAGTTAGTTCGACGACATGTTTTGAAGTTTCTCTTGGTAGTGACCTTGGGTAATTTGCTATCAAATATATAATTAAAGAAGGGGCAGTCCCTTCAATAAGAGGCACATAGTCAGGTGTGGAGATCACAGGGATAAACAAATCAGGCACTCACTTTCTCATTCACTCTCCCGGGCAAATAAAATGCTTCAGAAGTGAGAACAATTCTCTACGGTTGCTTTGTCAAATAGAAGACTGTTGTGGTTGGTGGCTTACCAAAACTGGACACATTGGGGAAAGAAGCTTCCACGACAGGCTGGTCACTGAGCTTCACAACTATACAGGTAGATGCTTCCGAATCTTCCGTTCTTATCTTGGCAGCTACATATTTTTCATCAGGAGCCACTCTGATACAGTCAATGAAGGGCTGGTCTAATTTAAGTTCCTCCAAATTGAACAAAACCTCATAATTATCACTGTCTGCTGCATAAAGAAAAGGATGAAAGAGATAATGCCACAGATGTACTTAAAAATATTTTAAACTGTACGTCAATGTCAAATTAGCATTCCTCTGCCTGGCTGGGTGGCTCAGCTGGTTGAGCATCGTCCTGTGTCCCAAAAATGGTTGTGGGTTTGATTTCTGGTCAGGGCAAATGCAGGAGGCAACCGTTTCTCTCTCTCTCTCTCTCTCTCTCTCTCTCTCTCTCTCTCTCCCTCTCTCTCTCCCTTTCTCTCTGTCAAGTCAGTAAAAATATCCTCAGGTGAGGAGATTGAAAATTAAAAAAATTAAATCAGCATCCCTCTTCTGTAAGAAGCTATATTCTGGCTTCCTGCAGCATTAATGGCAGCTTGTTTTGCACAGAAACTGGCATTAGTTATTTAATAGTATCCTATGCTAGTCCATATCATACCATGCATCAACTTATGTGATATTATTCAATACCATTGTAGCCTAGTGTTTAGAGACCATATAGAACCTAGAAAGACAATGTAAATGACATTGACTAATCGTACCTCGTACAGTACCTGGGATTCAGCAGATGCTCAAAAATGCTGGTTCCTATCTCCATTCTTCCTATCAAAGCTTTGAGTGTGGCTGTAAACTACATCTTAAACAAACCCAGATATTAAAAACTAGCCATAAATAAAAACTCAGAAATCTAAAAAAATTTTTATGCCTTTGAGAATATCAAATTTCCTATGAAAAATGTGAAATCTGAAAAATCAGAGTATGCTAAAAGGAAAAACTGTGGTATACCTTCTTCATCTTTTGAACGCACCAAGCAGCAACCTTCTTGGTAGTAAACAAAACCTCCATGTTTAACCTGACGATAAAAAGAAATAAATAGTTTATTTAATAATAATACATAATAATTTAACGAGTTAAGCTTGATTGAATTTAATTAACTGCTTAATGTTCTAACTAGTCAAGATGAAGAAATGGGATCTTTCATAAAAGCATTTTGAAGTTTATAGATGAAGACATAAAAACTATAAAATGGATCACTTTTTACAACACAGCGGTTAAGAAATGGTTTTCATGTGTCCACAATCACTGAAGGAATTTCTTATACACAAATGAAAGAGGCAACAAAGAGAAGACATAATGCAATCTATGTTGGCTCTCATGACTGTACAAAGCACTTTAGTTGTATTTTGGGAACATCTAACATCTCTACAGTGGGGTGCCATTAACAGAGATCAAGGGGCATCTTTAAGATAATCCCGAATGATGTAGTTGAGAAAACTGTGGCTCAGATTGGGCTGAAAACCCAGTCAATAACTTTCTGAGATTCTTTCCTCTTAAATATGCTGTCACCACCAACTGTTCATGGTCTTGATTTTACACAAAGCATCTTATCCTCTGTGGGTGACAGATATAGACAATCTGAAACTGAGAGAATGAATAGTGCTCATGGGTAATACCTATATATTGAATGCAATTGATTGTGGTAACCATAAAATAGTCAAACAAATATTTGACTTCCGTACAACACGGCTTAGAGTGAATTTCTTTTCATTAAAAAAAGTGTAGATAGGCAATCAAATACTTTTCTAATAAGAAAGAAATATGACTCAGTTTCATTTGAACTTACGTTCGGAATTACTTTAAAAATTTTTAAACAGAATTGGTTTTTTCCAAAAACTAGAATTAACAAAATGTGCTTGAAAATTCACTTTGGTTTTGACATTTATAATTTACATTAAGGATTACACTATACTTATCTGTTGTTCTTTAAGTTTTTAGGCATATTTTAAAGGCCAAAAGCAGTCTACTTCTTATGTGGGATTATGCCTATAAATCACAAGGTAGTTAGTTCATTTACATCCTGACTGGTAATATCAGAGTTTAAAAAAATTTATAAATATCCTACCTCTGCATTGATGATTTCGTATTCTTCTTGTGGCTGTGTTTCTAATTTTGTTCTCACTTTTTCAAACGCATCCATGTTTTCTGAAAGGGGTTTTTCGTTTTCTTGTTTAATAGGCAGAATATCCTGGAAAAAGTTTTATTGGTATGAACATAATATTTCAAACTAGGGAAAAATACCTTGGCTTTTAAAATATATTTTTTAATTCCTTTTCATGCAAGTACTACAATATTAGGTCTTTACCTATGAAATAGTATGCATTTCACAGATCTTAAATGTCGTTTCTCAAGCTCAATAAATGGTCTCCTCTTTTTAATTTAAAAATGTAAACAAAGACAATGAAGTGGATACTTGTAGCTAAACTATTAATTTAAATGGATAAAACCTTTAGATGCAGAATTACTAAGAAGCACTGGAGAATGTTCACAATACTATGGGAAAGGTTTATAGAAAATTAAGCAGTACAGGAAATCCTATGAACATTTACATATTTAATTATCAGGAGTTGGAGGTACAAAAAAAAGTCTACTGAGTTTTATACAGTAATAAAATAATACCTCCTGCCCGGCCAGGGTGGCTCAGTGGTTGAGCATCGGCCCATGAACCAGGAGGTCACGGTTCGATTCCCGGTCAGGGCACATGCCTGGATTGCTGACTTGATCCCCAGTGGGGGGTGTGCAGGAGGCAGCCAATCAATTACTGCCTCTCATCATTGATATTTTTCTCTCTTTCTACTCTCCTTTCCTCTGAAATCAATTTTAAAAAATTAAAAAATAAAATAAAATACCTCCTAAAAGGGGTGATATATTGATGGGAGAGGAAGACATCATTTTTATTAAAAAATGTTCACTCTTTATCCACAGCAAGAATTACGGTAAAAAAATTTGTCCTATGTTGTATCTTCATTAGCCATCATTTTCTTCTCTCATGGGGATGGGAGTCTCCCACATAGAACTGTTCATCAGATTAAAAAGTGAATTAATCCTTTATAGGGCAGAGCTTTTCTTCGAGTTTAAGTAAAAAATAATATATTCACCGAATAAAGGAAGAACAAGAGAAAGTAATGGAAAATTAATGAACGTGAATAGAGATACCAATGAAAGCTAAATAAGCACTCTATTTTACTGGGAGTATCTAATAAGCTATGAGCTTTAGTTGACCTCTGATTAGCACACAAATACCATATAAAGTATTAAAATTTATATAAGGTAAAACCTCAGTTGTTAGAAAAGAGTTCAATAATTTAACACTCATAGGTTTGCCTTAAGCAAAAGAATTCTAGCCAAGATTTTCAATGTCATCTTCCTGCCAATGATGACAACTGTACAGTGACTTGTGCCAGAGGGGTATTAAGCCTTTGGTAAGGACCTCCAACAGCTGGTAAATATTTATTGCACAAGTGTGTCCATGGTACTTTACCAACACTTTAGAAAATGTAGGCTATAAATATAGTTTATATCATAAAGCATTTACAATCTAAAATTAAACATGCAACTAAAATAGAAAACATTAAACGGAAAAACAATCATTTTCACAAAGTTTTTTTCTTTAGAATTTTTGAGATGCTTTTGATTGGGATTAGATTCAAATTAGCAACAATGGTTGTTGTGGTAGTCTAAATCATTCAGTCTCTATTTCAATCTTATAATATTATCCTTGAGTAATTATGTGAAGTCCAAAAGCTGGAGGCTTTTTTTCACTGTTTATTTTTCATTTATATTTTTTGCATTTTTACAAAATCTAGAGTCGATCTTTTAGAATTGTGAGGCAAAATACATGTATCGATAATGTCCTACTATCACCTGAAATCAGAAGATCACTAGAAATCTCTCCTGAAACTATAACTTAGCACTAGGATCTGCTTTTCATTTCCAGATACATGCTTATCTGATCCATAATTCCTGTTAGAACTTTAAAGTCGTCAGCATAGCTACGAAGAGTACCTGTTTCTACCACCTGGCAGCTCCTCGCACATTTTAGGTCAGGGAGCTGGGCTGGAGAGGCACAGCCAGCACAGGGCTAAAGGCAACAGAGTTTGGCCCAATACCTGCCCTCTAAGTGAAACTTACTTTACATTCTTAACTTTTTTCTATGTCAAAAGGCCAAATGAACTGAGCTTATCTGAATCAAAATAACCCTGAAAGCAACAGGATTTTTAACTGCCTTAACAAAGGGGAGGTAGCTTTCAAAAGCCTTGTAAATAATTCCTAAAAATAATTACACTCAGGGAAGCATATTTTTAACTAATATTCATAAAGTATGCCAATTTGTTTTGTTTTTAATTCTAGCCCGATAATACCCACTATGTTTTTTAAGCTTGCATTCATTTCAGTGTCAGCCAGCATTATCATTAGGGTATGCAGCAAAATCTATACAATTTAGCCAAGTATCTTTTTTAAATAAAAAAACATATATTTTAATTGATTTCAGAGAGGAAGGGAGAAGGGGAGAGAGAGAGAGAGAGAGAGAAACATCAATGATGAGAGAGAACCATCGATGATCCCGCCTGCAAATCGGGCATATGCCCTGACCGGTGCCTCTTGGTTCCTGGGTCAACACTCAACTGCTGAGCCACACCTGGCTGGGCTAGCCAAGTATCTTAATACATGAATAGTCTACTGGTTTCAAGGGTATATACTACCTAATGGAGCTGAGGTGAGAATAGCTTAACTAAATTTTAAGAAGGTTGCATATATATTATCACTCCATTAGTGGAAAAAGAAGCACTGCTCCTCATTTCTCAGGTGCCCACCACAAAACCATTTTAGCAATGCAAACATACAGGAGAATGGAATGTGCAAACTTCATTATTGCAAAAATGGTTAACTCTAAAGACAGAAAAATGGCACTGTAGAAGGATACTAGACCACTTTTAGTTAGGATGGTGCCATTAATAAATGGCCAATTCCAAGTCTGTGGCACGGAAGAGTAAAAAGTAGGCTTAGGACATCTGCCAGAAAGCAAGGAAATGCTCAAAGATTAACGGAGACTTGTCAGAAGGAGACAAGGGCCAGTCTGAAGGGGTTCCCACTAGCCACAATGACAATTTGAGCATCAAAAAGAATAATGACTATAACTGATTATAATACACTGAAAAAATTCACAATAACTTGAAAACAAGCAAAAAAACCTCCCCACTAAACTAAAATAAAAAGAGGGTACAACAAAAAAGGAAGCTCTTTTTTACGACATCATACAAGCTAATAAATGTAGAAAGAATAATAGAATTAGAAAATCATTAACAAACCCCAGTGAAAGAACTGATTAGGGTAAAGATCATTAGTGGTTGTTAAACTCATTAGGTGAAATTATGTTGCATAATACAATATTTGCACAGTACCAAAGTATTACCCTACTGATTACTTAGTATTGCAAAGGGAATATTGCTCTTTTAACAATGGAGAGAACAAGGATTTATCTCCCTAACCAAAATGATCTAGCATAGATAGCATCATCAATAGTGGGACAATATGACATTATGTATGTGCAGATACAAAGCATTTCAATTTAAGAAGGAAAAAGAGAAGAGTAAACCTAAAGGGAGTAGAAGAAAAGAAATAAAATTAATTTGTTTAATGAAATTGATGAAAGAGAGGATCAACCAAATATAAAATTGGTTCTTTGGAAAATGTATTTAAAAAGACATGTATAGCAATGGTGACTTAAAAAGGACAACAATATTAGGAATGAAAAACATCGTATAATTAGAGATATAATAGATTTTAAAAATCACAAAGTTCTTTATGCCACTACATTTTAAAACATAGATAAAATACCTACTTTCAAAGGTAGCTTTCTTGAATCTTCAAGGAACAGATAATCTTTTCATATGTCAACTACTATTTAAGAAAAAAATGCCTACTACTTAAAACTACTCAACTAATTTTATCAGGCTAATATAACCTTGAAACTAAACTGGACAATCAGAATATATGACAAAAATCATTCTTATAAAATATAGATTTAAAAATATAAAATAAACCAATGTATTTTTATTTTTTAAAAAATATATTTTATTGATTTTTTACAGAGAAGAAGGGAGAGGGATAGAGAGTTAGAAACATCAATGAGAGAAATCGAGCAGCTGCCTCCTGCACGCCCCTCACGGGGGATGTGCCCGCAACCAAGGTATATGCCCTTGACCTGAATCAAACCTGGGACCCTTCAGTCCGCAGGCCGATGCTCTATCCATTGAGCCAAACCGGTTCGGCAAATTTTTAAAAAGCACAAAACATGCCCAAACTAGTTTGGCTCAGTGGATAGAGTGTCGGTCTGCAGACTCAAAGGTCACGGGTTCGATTCTGGTCAAGAGCACATGCCTGGGTTGCGGCTCAATCCCCTTTAGGGGACATGCAGGAGGCAGCCAATCAATGATTCTCTCTCATCATTGATGTTTCTATCTTTCCCTCTGCCTTCCTCTCTGAAATCAGTAAAAAATATTTTTTAAATAAATAAATAGCACAAAACACAATAACAGTAATGAAACCATGAGTGACCAAGGATTTATCTTAAGAGTAAAAGGATAATTCAAAATTAGAAAAATGTATCAATGTAATCTAACACAGATAAAGGAGATAAATCTTAGAGCAATTTCAATTAAAACAGGGGAAAAAACCCCCATCTCTTAAAAAATAATAAAACCTTAAGTTAGGAATAGGGAGGAACTCCCCTGACTTGATAAATGGTCTCCCTGTTGTTTGAAACAGGACCATAGCAAATCTGTAATTAACATACCCACAGTATATTCACATTAGTACACATTTTTATTTTACTGTTTTTACAGAGAGGAAGGAAGAGAGAGAAACATCAATCAGTTGCCTCCTGCACGTGCTCCAGCTGGGGATCGAACCCTGAACCAGGACATGTGCCCTGACCTGGAATGGAACTCGCAACCCCTTGTGTATGAGATAATGGCCCAACAACTGAGCCACACCGGTGGGGCAGTACACAGCTTATTTAGTATCTGTGAAATACTTTTCAAGAATCTCCATTATATTCATTTAAAATATCTAGTTATATTTGCTGTTTATTTTGTTATTCAAAAGTGATTGTTAAATGAAAGTAATTGTTTCCTTTGCTCCCTGCCCCCAATTCCTCTCTTCCCCCTTCTCTGGAGTCCAATAAGATTTCTGCCCTTCTCATTCTATTGCTTTGTCTGGTCAAAATCAATGATGACCCACTGCAGTCCCAGTACTGCAAAGAAAGGACACATGTTAATTCTAGGTATTTACACTATTTGAGATATCAGTATCGTGGCACAGCTGAACACTTCCTTTTCTTAACACTTTTCTTCACTTGGCTCCCAGGACACCTCATTCTCATTGTTTTGCTCCTATTTCACTGCCCTATTTGTCTCTGTAGCTGGTTCCTACTCAACTCTCTGGCTTAACATTGGCACTCCCTGGGCTACAGTTTGCACTAATTCCCTTGGTGATCTCATCTAGCCTCATAACCTTAAATGCTATTTATATGCTGAGGCCTCCCAGATTTTTTTAAAAACTATATTTTATTGATTTTTTACAGAGAGGAAGGGAGAGGAATAGAGAGTTAGAAACATCGATGGGAGAGAAACATTGATCAATTGCCTCCTGCACACCCCCTACTGGGGATGTGCCCTCAACCAAGGTACATGCCCTTGACCGGAATCAAACCTGGGACCTTTCAACCTGCAGGATGATGCTCTATCCACTGAGCCAAACCGGTTAGGGCGAGGCCTCCCAGATTTATATTGGATTTATGGTTAATAGATTTTCAACAAGGGTGCTAAGACAGTTCCATGGGAAAAGATCTTTTCAATAGATGGTGCTGGGATAACTGGATATCCACAAGCACCATAACTGGATATCCACAAGCAAAAGAATAAGGGAAAGACATTAATCAAAGAACGTATATGCATAGGCCATAGACACAGACAATAATGTGGTGAAGGCCTGGGGTGGGGTGGGGCTGGGTGGATGAGGGCAGGCTGGAGGGTGTCCATGGGGGAAAAAGAGGGACATATGTAATACTTTCAACAATAAAGACTTATTAAAAAAAAAGTCTGGCCGAAACCAGTTTGGCTCAGCAACCCCCCCCCCCCCCCCGAAATAAATAAGGAAAAGAAAAGGGAAGAAGAAGACAAGCAAAAAATCTGGTTAGGAGACTTTACCAGTGGTCCAGATTAAAGATGACTGAGTGATGATGACAGAAGATGGAGAAACATGAACAGATTCAATATGTATTTTGGAAGTTAATGCAGTGTTTCTGAAAACATCTCAGACATGATGGTATACATAATTTGGATATGAAAAATTTATTAGAAAGAATATAACTAACACATCAGACTGATGATTTACTGAATATTATTCCTTGGGATAAGACAGGTCTATTAAACTAAAATAATTAAAAATAGCCTATGTGGTAAAAATCATGAAGCTAGTTCAGGATACACTGTTAATGGTTGTGGTGGCACAGTAAAGGGACAGGAGGGATAAACAATGTTTCCCTGTGTCCCAGTTAATAACTGAGCATAGAGCAATGAGATAAAGAAGAGGCGAGTTGGGGTTGGAAGAGTTGAGGTTCAACTGTGGGTAGTTTGAAAAGTCAGTGAGAGGTCCACGATATGCAGCTCGAAGGGGAGTTTGGAATGAAGATAACTGCTACGGTATTTAAAGCCACTGTAGGTAAAATTACTTAAGAAGAGAGAAAAAGGGGCCAGGACTAAGCTCAGAGAAACTCCAAAATTTAGAGGTCATATGAAAGAAAAGTTAAAAAAGGAGCGTGAGGATAGGTTTGTGAGGTAGAAGGAAAACCAGGAAAACGTTACCTTATATAAATAGGTCTGTACTTTAAGCAATTATGTTTTGTCCATAGGAACTACTGACTTTTTCTATTTTATTGCACCCATGAGAGTGGACAAAGTTGAAGCTGAGTAAATGCCGGTTTAAAGGAAATGGACATTCTTGTCTATAGGCCTCTTCACAGCTTCTCCAGGTCCCAGTGACCATTAAGGACAGAGATCCCAACTTTTAGATCTTATCATTTCTCTAAGAGGGAATGGTTGACATATGAAAGCAGGACTACTCTATTAGGCAAAAGAATTATTATTAAAAGAGCCTCTTAACTTGGAGTCACCATATCAGGATAAAGTTTCTAGGTGATAGGTATCTACAAAAGAGAATTAACAAGTTGCTTCAGGGACAAATGGAAGGGACACAAGTCAATCTCCTGCAGAGTGTGACCTAATATCACAGCGGTCACTCCGATGGTAATTCCTGCCTACTATTTATAAACGGAGACTCAACATAAAAGCACAAGATGACAACATGTTCTAAACACATACAAAATAAAATGATCTAAAGGTCTAAAATGTGTCCAATAGGTAAAATTTAAATCTTTCTAAAGTATGCTACAGTTACGCATGTGTGTACACACAAAGGTAAAAATAAAATAAAAGGAAGACAGAAAGAATTTCTGCACGAGGGAGCACCTTCTAGTTGCTAGATGGGATGCTGACCCTTTCATGAATTACCTAATAAAGTCAATTAGATCTTAAAAAAAAAATAAGAATTTACAGAAAGAATCAAAGTGCTAAATTAAGATGCTATAACAAGAAAAATAATTTGAAAGACTAAAATGTAAGGAGTGATAAAACATGCAACAAAAAGAATAAAATGTCGCCGAACCGGTTTGGCTCGGTGGATAGGCCTGTGGACTCAAGGGTCCCACGTTCAATTCCGGTCAGGGGTGTGTGCCTTGGTTGCTGGGCACATCCCCAGTGGGGGGCATGCAGGAGGCAGCTGATTGATCTTTCTCTCTCATTGATGTTTCTAAATCTCTATCCCTCTCCCTTCTTCTCTGTGAAAAATCAATAAAATATGTTTAAAAAAAAGAATAAAATGTAAGGAGTAAAAGTCTAGGGACTAAGTGATAAAAAGTTAAAAGCAAAAAAACCAAACAAAAAAACCTCCTCACACAAAACCCATAAGTATTAGTTAAAAGAGCAAGAATTAAATAAAAAACACAGATAAACCGAGTAAAATAATATTAAAAAGTCGTTTCTAAAATTAGAAGAATCCGCTCCAGTGTCCATCGATAGATGAATGTATAAATAAAATGTGGTATAGACATATAATGGAATATTATTTAACCATAAACACAAAAGAGTAAATATTATGATTCTACTTACTATTATGAATTATCTAGAATAGGCAAATTCATAAAGACCAAGTAGATTAAAGGTTACCAGGGGCTCAAAAAAGGTAGCCTATTGCTTAATGGGTATATGTTTTTGGGTATTGAAAGGGTTTTGGAAATAGATAGTGGAGATGGCTGTACAACATTGTGAATGAAATTAATGTTATTAAATTACACTTAAGAAGGGTTTAAATAGCAAATTTTATATGATGCATATTTAACTACAATAAAAAATGAAGAAGTAAAAACAGAGTAAGAAGAAAAATCAGTATGCAACAAAACAGTTAAAACCAGAAATTAATAAAATATTAGAAGTATACAAGCATAAGGTAGGATAGGTATTTCAAAGCAGCAGCAATATAAATAAATAACTCAATCTCAAACAAGTAGGATGAACATATAATTTAAACCAGGACACTTTAAGAGGAAAGGAGACACTATTAATAATTACACAGGGACAGCAGGTGTAGACCGGGACCATCCCAGGCAAACCAGGATGTGTTACTCTACATATAAGGGCAGTTGGGTTCTCAAGGCAGACGTCATGAAGGCAGACTGGGGTCTGGCCAAAGCACAATAGTCTGAAAGCATCTTCCTAAAGGACCCAAGTGGTAAAAAAATGCAAGTCTTTTTTTTTTCTTTTCCTTTCTATTTTTTTTTTTTAAAAAGAAGTAACACACAAGTACATGGCCTTTACTGAAGTTTACTAATTTGAAAACAATTACTATAATATTAGATTTTATTAAGAGCTATTACCATATTGTAGGAATTTGAGAAAACGAAACTATACT